TTGGAAGGATTCAGGATGAAGCGGGTGCAACAGTTACGTTGGTTCGAGGTGTTGAAGTCCCAAACATGGCGCTCTGGTACGATTCCGGGTCGTCAAGACGCAGGAGTCAAGTGGATACGTGGCGTTGAAATCCCGAGAACAATGTTTTGGCATGCTTCGGAATCTTCAAACGGTTGTCTTCCAACAAGGCAGTTCCCTCAATGGACATGAACCCTTGTGGGGGCCGATGAAAAGGGAGCTTGGAGGGAGGGCTCATTCCAACATCGTTGATGACTCTTGGTTTTACACCGGTCCTCCTCCTCCTCCTCCTCCTCCTCCTCCCCCTCCTCCTCCTCCTCCTCCTCCTCCTCCTCCGCCTCCTCCTCCTCCTCCTCCCCCGCCTCCTCCTCTCGGCGGCGCGCCCATGAAGGCAGAGGGGGCGGGTCTTCTCAGAGGGCTCTGAGGGCGGGCTGCCGTTGGAGAGGATTCCGGGGCCTCCTCCGAAGACTCAGCCGGCTTCTTGGAAGGCGCGAGGGATGTTGTTCGCCCCGCGGCCTTCTGAGGAAGCCTGCCCCCTCTCAGTTCCCCCCTTGAGCTCGCCGCCGATTTGTCCCTCCTCCATCCCTTTCATAGAGTTAGCTTTAAGTCGGGCGTGTCCCTCTACAGGAGGAATATTAAAAAATGGTCCCAAAGTAGTCTGGGGACGTTTTTTTTGTTTGGTTACTATGTTTGGCCATTTTCGGGTATTGTTTGTATTTCTATGTTTTCCTCCAAGGTCCGCCTGTAGGGGAACATGCCCGACCTAAACTTAGCTCCTCCCTGTCGCACCCCCAGGCGTGTCCGTAGGGCATGCCCGGCGTTTCGCCTGAGATTGCTTCAGCATTTGCAGTCCCGATGTCTGCAATGTGCGCAGCACTTTCAACGAGGGGGGACGGCCGTTTTTCAGAATGTGACTTTTGCGTACGCGTTGCGTTCATTCGTGCTGAACGTTTGTGGGCGTTTCAAGGATTGAGAGTAGGTCGTTTTCAAGATATGGCTCTCGCCTTAGCGCCATGCGCATTCATGATGAAAGTTTGCAGTAACTTCGAGGACTCGTAGGGCTGAAGGGCCAGGAATAGCGTTCTGGTTCGATTTATGCGCGTCACGACACAACAGTCACGCTCATTCTCGGTGTTGAAGTCCTGGGAATGGCGTTCTGGTCAGATATGGGACTGCCAGGACGCAGCCGCTATCGCGTCGCTGACGTCTCAGGAGTGGTGGCACGACTACGGATTCTCAGACGGTTGTCTTCGAATGGGATACTTCCCGCCATGAACACTTGTCGCAGGGACCTGTGAAGAGGGAATGTGGAGGGATGTTGTATTGCACATCTTCGGTGCGTCTTGCGCTTGCACTGGCACTCCTCTTGCCCTTCGGATGACGTCTGTTTTCTGTCGGCGGTGGGCCTCATGCGCCCAGTGTGCATGGGCTATATGACTAAGAGCCCCTGCACCAAGGACAAGGTTCGGACGTAACGGGTACACGCCGGTCGTTGAAACCAGTTATCCCTGAATTCCCAGATCCCAATCTACTTCGAGCGCCCTCCTACGTCAAGGACCGAGCTGCGTTCGCTGTGTTGTGTTATTCTCTGGAGGGCCTGGTACCAATCTCTTTGATCAGCCTTCCTACATCATGTGCTTACCTACTACTTCCGACCGACGTGAAGGCTGACGCGTTTGCGGGAGGGGCACCATCACACATCAGGGGCCCCAGCGTAGAACAGCCTGCAAGGGGCCAGCTGGTGCCCCTTGCTCTGGCCTGTGACGGGTGCTCCCAGCTAAACAAGGTCCTGAACACCATCCTTCCCCTGCTCCTGCTCCTGTTCCTCCTCCTCCTCCTCAGCGTCCTCCTCTTCCACGCGCGGCCCATGACCTCGCACACTAGTTGGGCGAAATTGCCTGGTGGTAGGAGGTGAGCACACAGTATCACACAGTGTGTGCAGCCCCACTTCACACGACACACGCGAGGCCGAGCCGATCCGATCTTCTGCGTACGCTCGTCTCCTCGTTCTCATCTCTTCCCGCCTGCTGGAGAGGAGGGCGCCAGGGAGGGGGGAGGACGGGGCAGGGGGAGGGAGATGATGGGGAAGGGGAGGAGGCGGAGGGTGAGGGGAAAGAGGAGGGGGAAGAGGCAGGAGAGAGGGGGACGGGAGGAAGCAGAGGATTTGAGGAGGAAGGGGGGAGAGGAGAAGATGAGAAGGAGTAGGAGGAGGAGGAGGAGGAGGAGGAGGAGGAGGAGGAGGAGGAGGAGGAGGAGGGGAAATGGACGGAACAGGAGGAAGAGGCCCAGAAGACAAACAAACCATTCTCTTGGGATGGGCGTAAATGTCCAGGAGGTGGTTTGAGCAGGACACAGACCTCTGGGGTCCATTTAGATCCGATCGAGACGATTCGATAGTTATCGGTTCTCGCTACATCGATCTGATTCGACTCCGATCTTCCGACGATCCGATGCGGTCCGATGTTTGCATGGCGTGGCTATGCACTCTGGCGCGGCCGACTCGATTCGATTCCGACCCCGTGCCGATGCAGCCCGATCCGACGCAAGATCCGAGTCGATCCAATGTCTTGATTCAATGTTGATTGATCTTGGACCACTGGGGCGTCGCTACAGCATTACGACGGGTGTTTTTCTTGTTATATCAAGCTTCTTGTGGAGTGGGGTCCCCGTCTTGAGCCCGCTGCGCCGCGTGTCTCCCTCCTCCTGCATCCCTTCCTCATGTACCTTCCCCCTCCTTGTCCTCCTTCCCACCCCCTATACTTGTCGGACTCGGCGCACCCCTCGCGCGGATCGTGCCCCCGGGAGGGAGCAGGCGCACTTGTGGCCCAGTGCGGCCGTGCACATGGGGGCGCACGTCCACGAGAAGCGGACTGTGCCCCCCATGAGAAGCGCCACCCGGACGCCCCACGCGGACAGTGCCCCCCCCCATGAGAAGCGCCGCCTGCGACTTGCGGCCCGCGGCCCCGCCGAGGGGTGGGCGTCCGCATGCCCGCATCCGATTCGGCACAGGCGCAGTCAGGACGCAAGAAAATGTCCTCTTGGGGCTAATGAGGGGCTCTTGTTTTTCGGGCCGTTCCTTGGAGTTCTGTCGGGAAACCAAGTCGTATCCAATGCTCGCCGTTCGTTAGGCTCTGCCGAAGATCCCTTTCCTTATTGAAAGGCCTCACGACATTTCGCCATCTACGCGTCCCGTCGTGCTGCCTGCATGTAGCTGACTCTGGCCTGTCCCGCTCTTCCTCCGCGTCTGTCGTGGAGGCTTCTTGGAGGCCTCTTGGAGGCCCCGGGGGCGACCTGTAGACTTCCTGATTGCAGGCGCGATGGCTGCAGCATCGCCCGCCAGACTGGCAGGAGCCACTTGTCAGGAGGGAACAAAAACACAGACACGAATAATCGTCGACTCCCAGGAAAATATGGGAAAATATGGGAGGTGGGGGTGAAGACAAACACCCAGAAAACATAGGAAAATATGGGAAATCCTAGGATTTGTGTGTTTTTATGTGTGTGTCCTTGGACCTCTTGAATGTGGTGCGCCCCGGGTGCCTGGACCTGTCCCGCAGGCTGGGCTGGTCTGGCAGCCCGACGTCGTCCCTCTGCCACACTTGGGGGACCTGACACGGCCCTGCTGTATGGGAAGTGGACCGCGGACGGCAGGACCGGCGAGAGCTTGCGGTGAGGAGCGCTTGCTTAGCGCGCCTCGAAAGAAGACGAAGAAGAAGAAGAAGAAGAAGAAGAAGAAGAGACGACACACACACATGCACACGAGCGTTCGAAGGTCCGAAGAAGAAGAAGAGACGACACACACACACACACACACACACGAGCGTTCGGAGGTCCGAGCGGATTTCATGGGTCGGCGCGCGGTTCCCCGGTGGCGCCTCTCGAACCGCCCCTGGCCACGGCCATGAGAAGCTGATTTCGGGCGCAGGGCTGCCCCCGGGGAAGTGGTCGAGTCGCCGGTTCCGGCCCACCACGCTCCGGGGATATGCGCTAAGCACGTCTCAGGCCACCAGCATGAACGTCCCGACATTGTTCAGCCTCCCAGCTCACGAATCAGAGCGAGATTGCACTTGGGTGGATTCGTGAGCTCTCAAGACATAATTACCATCCAACACGTGGGCATGTTTCAAGCGAGGGAACGACATTGCACATGTACTCGCCATCGTCGTTACAGCGTCTGGCTCTTCATTTTCACACTGGTCCACAACTCTCAGATAAATTCAGACGTGTGGGACGACAATGGGTGTGGAAGCTCGTGGCGATCACTTGAAGTTCGATCAAAACCGTCACCGAGTCATGGTGATTTGGTAGTGCCCTTCTGTGTCATTGTTTGACGTGCGCACCTTCTGCCCCCGTCACCCTGGGATGACCAGATGAGGTTTGGTCATCGGACCACATGGGGCATTCCAGAAACAGGCCTTGTCCTCGGGTATCACATGAGTTGGCATCGCTTCCTTGGCGGAAGGCGGGAGAAGGTCGGCGGAAGACGGCGGAAGCAAAACGATGACGGCTCCGCCATAGGAAGTTGGGCTGAAGTAGCAGACGCGCCCCTAGGAGATGACGTCATATTTTTGTCAGATGCTCGTTTAGGGGGCCTTCTATGGACCCATCTGACGGATCTGTTCGACTCCAGTTCAGCTCTAGTTCGATTCCACTTCGACTCAAGGCCGATTCAGGTTTTCCTCAAGTCCCAGTCGAGTTGGCGGACGTTCGACGCGGCTTCGACGCACGAGTGGACCGAGTGGCTCCACGAAGGTCCCCAGATTGAACATCTGATCTTTTGGTCCAGGGTTTCGGGAATCCGCCATATTCCGATAGGGTCTCGGGCGGAAGACCTGGCCCGCCTTGCCGACACCTCCTGTGGCGCGGAGATCGCGAACGACCTCCGAAGGCAAGCGGCGTCACGATTAGGTGAAGAGGGAGAGGAGAGGAGGAGATCAGGTGGGTGGGTGAGGACTGGGAGCGAGAGAAAGAGGCCGCGGGAGGTGATCATCGCAGTCTGCATGTACGCGATACCCAACGGCGAGAAGCGGACCATCAGGAGGCACCGGCCGAGCTCTGGTCCTGCTCTGCCCTTTGCAGAGGGCCGCCTGCCACACGGCGAGCCACTGGGCCGGGCACCTCCGAGAGCGGACAGAGCTCGAGATCGAGCGGGACACGCGGCTTCGACAGCTATATGGCTATGGCCCACCGAATGTTTGGAGATGGCGTTGGTTGGGAGCACACCCGGCACATGGCTCCAGAGTGCTGCAACCTCCAAATTCTGGGCGGACCTCGAGAGCGACTTCTTGAAGTTCACATGCCTGTGACCGGGCTCCGGCCCGCTCGCGCCGCCCCTAAAGGGCCTACCGGCCCGCCGGCCGGCGGACTCGCGCGTCTGCGTCTGCGTCTGCTATGGCCCACGCCATATGACGGCAGGAATGCGCTGTACGATGAAGAGGTGGACGGGCACATACCTAGCAAGAAGTGCGGGTGGGACCCAGGTCAGCACGAGCACGACGCCATGCGCCGTCTGGCTGTTAGGCGGGACAAGTCCGAACCCAAGCGTTCACAGCCAATGCGCCTGCTGAACAGGGCAGTAGGAGGATGAGGAGGAGGTGTTTCCTTGGAGGAGGCCCAGAGTTATCATCGAATAGTGGCTTCAGGAGGAGGACGAGGAGGAAGAGGAGGAGCGGGAGGACGAGGAGGAGGAGGAGGCTCCAGGCAAGAGACCCCGAATAACCATTGAGCGCTATGTTCAGGAGTCCTGCGGCCCCCCCCTCCGCCAACACTGGCTCCCGCGCCCCCCCCAGCGTTCCGGACACCCGCCCCTGCACGGGAGAACAAACACCGAGGCACACAGACCTTGGCAGCGGCAGATGTCTCTGCAGGGCAGGCGAGGGGCGCAGGAGGGCGCAGCGGGAGCGACGTCGCCGATGCATCGCCGACGTCGCCGATGCATCACCGACGCATCGCCGAGGCATCGCCGAGGCATCGCCGATGCATTGGCGATGCGGCGAGATCCTCCGGCCCCATGGACTCGGATCCCAGTTGGGAGGCCTCTCACTACGTCTCCCCAAGATGTGGCGGAGCAGCTGAAGGGCCGTCGTGCCCTCCCGAGGGGGCTACGGTCACCACGGAGAGGAAGGATGAGCGATTTTCCAAGTTTACCCTTGTGTCTTTCCCTTGCGGCCCAGCCTTGGCCATGTTCGATGGCCGCCCCCCTCTCGAAAAGTGTCGAAATTACATTCCAAAGCCCTTGCATCCTTATCGTGCTTCCTTATTATACGCGTTGACTGGAGCGAAAGTGAACCAGAGGGGAAATTGCCACAACATATCGGACCGTTTGTGCATATCCTGGTGGGACAGCTGTCCAGGGAATCCCGTGACGATGGTTCTTGCTCATGTGTTTTGTTGTTCCAGTCCGTCCGGTCCCTCCTCATGTCCTTTCTTGGGTTCCCCTTGCAGTCCATCAGCTTCCTTGTTGCAGGATGGCTGGCGCGAGGATTCAGAACAGTCCTAGCCTTAAGTCGGGCCTGTCCCTCTACAGGAGGAATGTTCAAAAATGGTCCAAACAAAAATGTCTGGGGACGTTTTTTTTCAGTATTTTCTGACCATTTTGGAGCATTCGCGAGGTATTTTTATTTTCTCGTCCAAAATCCCCCTGTAGGGGGACAGTCCCGACCGAATCCTCGCCCCAGAGTGGTTGCACTTCTGGTCTCAGCGCGTGGTCTCTCCGCCCTGGACTCTTCTTCGAATTGGGTATCTCCATCGGCACTGGTCCTGCTGCGAAGGAGGTCTCCTGTTCTTGGCCAGCGTTCGCGTGGCCATGCTTCGGCTTTGTCCACAGGGTCCGGCTTGAATAAGGAACACTTACTTTTCAAAAGGGGCTCGGTCGTTCCTTGGGTTTGCATGCGTGCTGCTACCTTTTTGGCGGCGAGCCCCCCTGGGGTTCCTTCGGACTTTCAGGATTTACTTGGAAAAAAGGGGTTTCGTTCCTTATCTATCGTTCCTTAAGTCAGGCCGAATACTGTATTCCCACTCCTCTCTCCTTCAATGTGTCCGGTTTGGCCGCCCGATGCCACAGATTTCCGATGTCGTATTTTGTTGCATTTGGGCCCCCAGACTTGTCGACCCGTTTTTGTGGCGGTAATTCCGTCTCGAATCGTTTTTGGTGATCTTGGGTCCCGCGCGCGCCCAATCGGAGGCCCAGATCGATGACCGTTGCCAGTCGTGATTGATTTCTTTCGCGACGCCCAGGAATATGAGGCCGCTCGTACCGTTGACCTGCTGACTTCTCGTGTGCAGTTGCCGAACGTACAGTGAGCGGCTTGAATAAGGAACACTTACTTTTCAAAAGGGGCTCGGTCGTTCCTTAGATTTACATGCGTTATTTACAGATCCTCATGCGTTATTTATTATTGCGAAGGCCTTACGGCCGGTGCCGCCGACCCTGGAGGGCGACCCATGCGTTCTCGTATGTGGCGGGGGGGGGCTTCTTGGGGCTTCCTGGGGGCCTCTTGGGGGTCTCGTGGTGGCCTCTTGGGGGTATCTTGGGGCTTCCTGGAGGCCTCTGTCGCCGAGGGCTCGTCGGGCCCCCCGTCTGGGCACCCTGTTGGAGCCGTTTGGGGAGCCTCTGGGGCCATCTTGGAGGCATCCCCCCTCCCGGCGGGGGAGGGATCAAAGGGAAGGGGCTTCCCTTCGACTCAAATACGACGTTGCTGAAGTTCATTTGGGCTGGCGCGCTTGAGCAGGGGCCCCTGTTGGGAAAGAGGACGGGAGTGGCGACGGGCCCACGGAAAGGGAGGCGCAAGGAAGGGGGACGACAGAGACGACGACCAACGAACAATGGGGATGACGTCTCGAACGGAAAAGCCCCTCACACACGCCGACAGGGTCCTAGGGGCCTCTTGGGGGCCTCTTGGGGCCTCTTGGGGACTTCCTAGAGCCTCTTGGGGCGTCCTGGGAGCCTCTCGGGGCTGAAGGGTCGAAATGTCCGTTCGGGTGAACCATCTGGGCAATCTCTTGGAGCCGTCTTGGGGGTGTGTTGGGCGCGGCTCGGGCGTGGCTCGGGCGCGGCTCGGGCGCGGTCCGAGCGCGGCTCGGGCGCGGCTCGGGCGCGGCTCGGCGGCGGCTCGGGCGGCTCGGGCGCGGCCCCGAAACAATAAAGAATCCCTACGTGCAGTACTTGCGGGGGGGGCGTCGTATCTGAGTGGCGCCCCCCCCCCGGGACCCCCCCCCCGGGACCCCCCCGCTACCCCCCCCCCCTTCCCGGCGGGGGAGGGATCAAAGGGAAGGGGCTTCCCTTCGACTCAAATACGACGTTGCTGAAGTTTATTTGGGCTGGCGCGCTTGAGCAGGGGCCCCTGCTGGGAAAGAGGACGGGAGTGGCGACGGGCCCACGGAAAGGGAGGCGCAAGGAAGGGGGACGACAGAGACGACGACCAACGAACAACGGGGATGACGTCTCGAACGGAAAAGCCCCTCACACACGCCGACAGGGTCGGCGGTTTACATGCGTTATTTACAGATCCTCATGCGTTATGTATCATTATCTTTCCTTATGCGTTATTCTTTGGGATAAAAAGGGGCTTCGTTCCTTATTTATCGTTCCCTAGGTCAGGCCGATGACTGTACTTCTTCGCAGCTGGGCTGCCCAGCCGGCCAGGCCGCAGTCGTGAGGCGCCATTCACGAGGACAGCGGTGCTCCAGACTTCTAGCATGCGTCCAAGCCATTCACTGCTGGCCATCGCGTCGGGCCGTGGCCCTGACGCACCAGACCAAACAGCATCCAAGCCAGCCGCCAGGTCGCGGGAGGCATCATTCGCCAGGGGCCTGAATAAGTTCGGAAATGTGGCCGCGCCTTGCGAGGCGCGACGGCGAGAAGATGCAGTGAGTACGGTTTAATCGTCAGTGTACGGACCGCTCTGGTCTCGGAAAGGGCTCGGGGTTCCGCAGGTCCTCCCTTGGCTTTGGGTATTTATCTCGGTCACACTTTGTGAATCTGGGCTCGGTTTGGTCCAGACAAGCAGCTTGGTTGTTGCCTAGGTTTCCCTCCGGTGAAACGCTGGCTCTGTCCCCTCTTGATTTGCAGACGAGGCGCACAACCTGGTTGGCAGCGATGGCTCAATTCGTTGGCACAATGTGCCCTCCGCCAGCCTCGTATACTGTGATCGCCGAGGCATTCGGCTTTCCCTCATCTTACGTCTCTCCTGCTTCTGCTCGTTTGCCCTCTGGTTCCTTCTCCACCTCTGGTTTGCCCTTCTGAAAGGCCGGCCGTGTTCGTCGTTACCGCCTTTGCATCCACATTTGCTTACGTGTGGCTTGTTATCATCGTGGGCTTCTCGTCGCCGGACGTGATCGAGCCGTGGGAGGAGGGGCGGGGGGCGGGCAGCGATGCGTCGATGCGGAGAGGCCGAGGAAGAAGGGTGATGGGGAGGGGGAAGATGGAACAGGGGGCAGTGAGGGGAGGAGGAGAACGAGGAGGAGGAGGAGGAGGAGGAGGAGGAGGGGGAGGAGTTGCCATGCGAGAATCCTGCGAGAACGCGGTGGGGACGCCGGGTCGACGAGGAAGGAGATGGAGTGAGCGTCGTGGAGCGTTTTTGCTCGGACTGCTTGGTGCGTAAGGACTCCGACCGCAGATCGCAGTCGCCCGCGGAGAACAGAAGGGGGTAGGGGGAGGGGGAAGGCTTCTTAGAAGGAGGCTGCTTCTTAGAAGGCGCCGGCCTTACATCTACAGAGAAGGCCCGCACCTTCTGAGAAGCAGGGGTGCTTCTACGAAGCCTTCCCCCCTCCCCCTACCCCCCTCTGCGCGCCGCCAAGCAGTCGCTCGCGGAGATGGAGGAGGAAGAGTAAGGATCACAGTGCGAGGCAGCTCGACGGTTTTTCTGAACCGTGCAGAGCTCCAGAGAGCCGTGGTGGAGGCAGGGCTCTTCGCTGGCTGAGCAGAAGATTCCTGCCTAGAGCTTCGGGGGCAAAGGTCCCCACGTGGCTTGTCAAGGTGGATGTTTGATCTTCCTGCGTTACACGAGGTGATTGGTTCGCAGACGTGGGCCGCGGCGCGCCAGGAATATCAGAGGAGTGCCCAGATGGGGCCTGCAGTGGGCCGCAGGTGAAGAGCGCGCTTCCTGCCGATGAATGGAATCCGGACCCCCTCGCGTCTTGCACAAGAGCGCGACTTACGTTGTTTTGTGTTGTCTCCCCCTGTCTTCGGGCTCAGGGGGTGGGGGGGGGGGCCCTCGCCAGGACTGGGGCATGGATCGACACTCTGGGGGGCCGCTTCGTGTAAAAGTCGCGAGGTCGGAGTTCTGGGCATCGGGCTCGTGACGCGAGCGTGCAGAAGGCAGCCCAAGAACACACAAAACGTTTAAGAGTGCCGTGGCGTCGATGCGATTCGGCACCCGCGCCCTGCGGGGAAGAGCAGGAGGAGGAAGAGGAGACACGGCCGACCAGTCGTGCAACTGAAGGACACGAGCACGGGCCATACCCATACAAAATTAGGTTAACATCTTGCCCGTCTTAGGGTCCTTCCCAGCCCTACAGGCTGAGATGATGTATTTCTGCCTAGATCGGGTAGGCCCGTGCTGGGACGCGCCATTACAGGCCGCAGATCCAAGCTTACAGTTATTCACCTTGCCAGAAGACACCTGATAGGAGCCACAAGAAGTGCAGACCATGCACTTGGGGGTAACGAGCACCTGGTGCCCGTTGAGCTCCACCACCTCCTCGGGAGGCGGCTCAGTCGGATTCGCATTCGCGGAAACGCCCTCGAGGGAGTCAGAAAATTCTAGGGCCACCCGCACAGCCTCCGCCTGCATCGGAGGCGCGCTCTGTAGCTCAGTTAGCATACTGGCTCTGAGCCTCTGTTGGGCCGTGGGCTCACACTGGGTCCCTAGAAACCTGCTGAGGCTCGCCTGGGTCCTAGCAAGCCCGAGACAAGACCTACACTGGAAGACTCCTGGCGAGAGAACGGCCATCTCGTGGGCCGTGAGTCTAACGGGCCTGACTGGGGCAGGGGGTCTGGCTAACCTACTGGGCCGCTCAGTCAATGAGTCACGATACGCCATCTTGCACACCACCCATGACAACATCCTGGCCTGCAGTTTAGCATCACATATATTCGATTCCAACGACATCTCCAGGGTCTCAGACGGGTCATGACAACATGCGCCCCATTTAGCGAACCTGTCGGCCCAAGCATTGCCAAGAAAGTACTCCCATGGATGGCAATCCTGCTCGGTAAACTGCTGAGCCGTCTTGTGAGCAGGGCACCAATAAAAATTTGGAGGACAAACGTCCTTGCCGTCCATCAACGCGAAAATCTGCCTCCATAAATCAGCATACGAGGCGTCAGCCTCCTGGAGGGCATGGTCCCAGCTGGCTCCTTCTTTGACCAGGCTGGACAAGTCCGACACCACCAGTCTGACGTCGGGCAGGTACTTCAAAGCATAGTACAGGGCCGCTCTCTCAGCCCTTCCTACCGTCTGCCATGGCCCCTCGAGGGGACCGTACGCCCCTCTGACTGGTAGCCCATTGTCTCCCAAACAAACGAATCCCCAACCACATCTGGTAATTTCAGGAAGTCCAGGAGCAAGCCCCGACCCATCGGTGAACACCAGGGAGGTCCAGCCACTTCGGTCCGAATCCCAGTCGCCCCAGAGGTGAACCTCGAGCCCATATGAGACCTTCGGGGGCACCGCAGGGTACATGGGCATGCACATGCAGCAGTCGAACCTATCCCAGTCAGGAGGCCCCAGACCTGGAACTCCTCGTGCCCTGAGATATTCATAGCACACATTATTCTTCGGATCCCACACCAAGTCTTCGTCATAACAATCATCATACAATCCTTGGCAATCATAAATACAATGACCGAGTGTGGAGCGTTCCGAGGGACACCATGGACATTTAGCAGGAATGTTGTACCCTGCTTGGTGCTGCCTGTCCCTCGTCCAGAAGCCTCCTGACCATAGGGTGCGAAGCGCACCCGAAAATCTTGAACTGCGAACTGCAGCCTTGGCCCCACCAACACACTTCCTCAGCACGCGCATCCATATGACTTCATGTCCATAGCATATATCTTGATGGTGGGCCAAGATCTGCCTGCCCTGCCAGCGCTCCACACCTTGGCGGGCAAACTCCAAAATAGTCTTGGGCGGCAGGCGCAGAAGGTCCAGCACGTAGCCCTGGTCATCAACAATCGTGGTGCTAGAGCTCATGCTCCATCCTATACGTGACAGAGTAAGTACCAGAACCTCCATGGGCCCACGAACCCCATCCCAAGTCATCTTCTGCTTGATCTTACCTTGGAGGGCCATCCAGCCCCTTTGTAGACGTCCCAGCAGGAGGAGGAAGAGGAGGAGGTGGAAGAGGAGGAGGAGGAATAGGAGGAGGAGGAAGAGGAAAAAGAGGAGGAGGAGGAGGAGGAGGCGGAGGCGGAGGCAGAGGCGGAGGGTGCAGCGGCAGGTCTTCCCAGAAGGCTCGGAGGAAACTCCGGCCTTTCGGGAAATCGTACGAGCTTGCTCCGACGCCATGGAGGGCCTCCCAGAAGGCCGGAGGGCCTCCGGGAGAGCCCCACCGCCTCCTGGGAAGGCTTGCCGCCTCTCACGTCCATCCTCGGCGCGTCGACGAGTGGTGCCGTCGACGAGACGGGATGCGAAGGTAAGGAGGAGGGTTCACGGTGCCTCTCAGCGCGCGAGCTGCAGAGCACGTGCAGAGGTTGCTCCAACGGGTGCATGTCTCGTGGTGGTCACGTCCGCAGGTGGCGATGCGAAGCAGAGTTGCATGCCTCGATGCGCGCTTCTGCTCAGAATGGTGGTGGTTCGACGGTTGCCAGCTAGCCGCGTTTCATTGGCTGGTCCAGCGGCATACCACCCCACACGTTCGGCAAATAAAGGGGCTTGTTCATGGTGTGTCAGAGTCCCGAATCATCAGGGCTGGGCGTGTTCACAGGTAGCTATCGACTCGTGCCTTAGGGGCCCAAAGAGGAGTTGTCCCAGACTGGAGTTATCTTGGACTGCTTGGGCACCCAGCCACTCCCTGATCATCGAGGCTGGGGTTGGTCAGGGGTAACTCCTGTTTCATGCCTCGGGGGCCCAAACCGGAGTTGCTCCAGACTGGAATCATCCCAGATAATTCTTGCGTCCAACCATCCGAATCATCGGGGCTGGGTGTGGTCAGCGGCATCTCTTGGTTCGTGCGTCGGGGGCCAAAGCCAGAGTCGCCCCAGACCGGAGTTATCCCGGATACTCGTGCGTCCAAGTGCATGACGCGGCTTCGAGTTGGCATTCCGTCTTGATACGCACTTCATCTACACGTTGCGTTCTGTGTGTTGAGGCGTGGAGGTAGCCACACTCGACGAAACGCTGCCGAACATGTGTTCGGCCAGGGTGCTCTGAATGTTATGGGTGGCATTTCGAAGCAGACAGTCGGGGAGGGTGTATCAACGTTCGCGTTCTTCCCGATCTTGGTGGTGGTTGCCTTCCTCGCGGACAAGGCTTGCGTTTTGTTGCGCCACTGCTTTCAAGGGGATGCGTTCCCTGGTTCTGCAATAATGCCACTCCAGATGTATTAGTCTAGGCCTCCTAGATGGGGTCTGAGGAGATGGGGTCGGAGGATCGCGCCGCATCGCCGATGCGGCTCGATGTGGAGCCCGCGTTTCCCCGCACCGACGTCGCCGATGCATCGCTGACGTCGTCGATGCATCGCCGGCGCATCGCCGATGCATCGCCGATGCATCGCCGATGTATCAGGGATGCAGCGCGCTCCTCCGACCACATCTACTCCGTCCCATCTAGGAGGCCTCTAATTAGTGAGGGAGGCAATTCTCCGTGTCCACCATCTCGAGATCAGCCATGATTATGTGCATTTAGTGTCCTCTCCTCCTTGCCATCCTGATGCTCAAGCCGCCATTGTATGGTATGCAAGTCCGCTGGATTGCACTCAGAGTCCGGACTACCCTTCTGTTCTTGGGGTTTGATCCGTTCGCGCCGCGACGCTTTTGTCTTCGCAGATGTGTGCCTCTTCTCTTCGCATGTCCGTGCATCTTGTCAGATCAGTTGCGCTGCATGGGAAGGCAGACGGGGAGGATGAGCATGACGTTGAAGAGAAGCAGGAGGAGGATGCAGTGAAGAGGAGGGTCGGGGATTGTGCGATGCAACTGGCAGGCGTCAGGCTTTAGAAGGCTGCAACTGACAGCAATAACAATACTCAGCGGGTGCCTGCGTGGGTGTTGTTTTGGCTTGTATGCCTAGGGGCGACGTCATGCTGTACTGGCGGATCGAATATGGCTCCAAACAAAACTATTCTAGGGTCTCTTGTCCTTGATCGATGCGGCAGGCCAGAGCAGTTATTTCCCGATATCAGGTCGTATCAGCGTGCCGGTTGGCTCCCGCTCCAAAGTCAACCAACATGCCCCCTATTTAAAAGATTGTACCAGGTAACGTCTGGGTGGAAAAATATTTGTTGTTCTGGTCCTAAATCTACCGCACATGTATATAACATTGCTTTACAGCATTTGTTTACACCAGCTTGATTTTGAAGTCAAGGTGTTGGCACATGAGGCTGACGGCGAGGAGGCGAGGAGGAGGAGGAGAAGAAGGAGGAGGACGAAGCGCATGAGGAGTACAACGAGGAGGATCATGGGGAAGATGAGGCTGGGGATGCGGAGAGGGGGAGGGAGAATGGATGAGGAGGGGGAGGGCGGACACAAATCGAGGGACAGGAGTAGCAGGAGGGAGAACCGATGAGACGCGGAGGAGGGGGGGCGAAATGGGAGGAGAGGGTAGATGAGGGAGCAGGGGGGAGGACATTGGGGAGAGGAGGGCCGAGGAGGTGTAGGAGGCGAAAGAGGAGGAGACGGATGGACAAGAGGAGGGGCAGGGGGGCAAGTGGGCTCCGCCCCCTCGTGCTGTGTCTTCTGTTCCAACCTTCCCCTCCTTCTCATGCTCTTCCTCGTCCCTTTCCACTGCGGGGCATGCGGAGGGGAAGATGGAAGAGGATGAAGAGGATGAAGAGGAGGAGGAGGAGGAGGAGGAGGAGAAGGAGGAGGAGGAAATGGAGGAGGAGGAGGATGGAAGAGGGATGAGGGGGAGGGTGATAAGCAAGAGGAGAGGAGGAACGAGGAAGGAGAAGGGATGAGGGATGAGGAGGAGGGGGAATAACGGCGAAGAGGAAGGTGATGATCAAGCATTGGGCGACCTGGGGGAGGAGGGAGGAAGGAGGGAGGAGGAAGGGAAAGGGGGATAAGAGGAAAAGGGAGGCATAGAAAGAGGAGCTTCCTGGGGTGGTCGTCGTCTGCTGAGGGCAAGCTCAGCTTCGCGGCGGCGAAGCAGTCCACAAAGCCGCAATTGGGGTGCAGCGCGACCAAGAGCCTTGGCGAGCTCCAGGACCACGAGGCCGTCAGGAGGAGGAGGAGGAGGAGGAGGAGGAGGAGGAGGCCGTTGGGAGGAGAAGGAGGAGGAGGAGGAGGAGGCCGTTGGGAGGAGGAGGAGGAGGAGGAGGAGGAGGAGGAGGAGGAGGAGGAGGAGGAGGAGGAAGAGGAGGAGAGCCGTCTGCCTCCTCGGGGGCGGGCGTCTGGGAGGCGAACGCTGACGAGGATAAAGCCGAGGCGGGGGCCGGGCTGGGGCGGGGCTGGGGCCTGGCCAGGGCCAGGGCTGGGGCAGGGGGCCAGTGCCGGGGCCGGGGCCAGAGCCTGGTGCCGGGGCCGCTGCCGGGGCCGGGGCCGAGGGCCTCAGGCGATCGCAAACCCAGAGATCAAGCGTGTTGAAAAAATCAAGACGGAGGTTTTGCGCCGATTTCGGCCTCCAGAGGCCCTCGCCAGTCCCCGAGACCGTCAAAAAACAACTTAGGATGGAAAACCGGTCCCAGGGAATGGGTCGAGACTTCTGGGAGGGCCGCATTGAAAACATCACGACATCGGATTTGTGGGAACATGGATCAAGGGGGCGTGGATCAGCGACGGGTCCCGTTTCGATAGGAAATCGCGGATTTCCGCCGCCGAGCGAGGCGGCACGGGTCGAGTTCTGGGGAGGGCACCTCCCCCGATGCATGGATTGGCGACCGCGCGCCAAATCCCTGGATCGCCAATCCATGTTTGCGCGCCCCCGAGGGCCGGTGGGGCTCGGACGGACGGGGCAGGGGCCAGGGACGGAGCTGGGGCCTGCGGCCAACCCCATACTTAGCCCCCATTTTCCATAGGTGATGGGCTTGCTTTCCACCACCACCACCACCGTAAGTTGGAGAGGGAGGGGGTCCTCCTCCTCCTCCTCCTCCTCCTCCTCCTCCTCCTCCTCCTCCTCAGCTCGAGGCCAGTAATTTGAGCCTGAGCTCAGCATTTAGTGCTGTGCACTTTCCCCGAATGGGCATTCCATTCCATTCCATTCCATTCCATTCCATTCCATTCCTCCTCCTCCTCCCTCTACTACATATGGTGGTGGTGGTGGTGGTGGTGGAACATGGGCCCATCAATAGGGGGGGCTGCCGCGGCGCGGGGTGGTGGGGTCACGACCCCTAGGGACCCCCCAGGACACGCCCCAAGACCCCCCCCCCGCGGACCTCCCTTGTTCGGGTATAGCCAGGGCCCCGGGTAAGGGGACCTGGTTAGTGGTAGGGCCCTGGGGCCCCTCAATGGGCCAGATGCACTAAACTAGGTTTGCCGTGACTGGTGTTTTTCGGGTGAGGGCAGTTCCGGTTAGCGGAACGGGGCGGGGGGGGGGCGCCCCGGTACACATCACTCAACCAGGTTCCATTAAACGCAGTTCTGCCAACGCCCGACTTGTGACCCCTCCCCTGGGACCTCCCCGGGGGAGGGGGCAAAAGGAAGAGACTTCCTTGCGACGCAGTTTACGACCTCGTTCGATCCCTCTCGTTGGTGCGATCTCCCTTGCGACGACGACGATTCAGCGGAGGCTGGCGCATCTCACTTTGGGTTGGGGTGGCCTCGCGTCGAAGGGCCTTTTCACGCACGCCGACCGTGCCGTGAGGAGGAGGAGGAGGAGGAGGAGGAGGAGGAGGAGGAGGAGGAGGAGGGAGGATAAAGGCAGGATAAGGGCATTTTGGAGACGGCACCGCCGCCAGACCGCAGCACGCGGCAGCGGAGCACGCGGCAGGCCCGGCAGGCCCGCGCAGCGCGGCAGGGCGGCGGTGGTCCCGGCGCGGGCGCTCGCGAGGCTGAGCGCCGCCGCTCGCCCGGGGCCCGCCGGCACCGAGCGATCTGCGCCATCGAATAGGCCGAAGTCGGGCCTGTCCCTCTGCAGGAGGAGTACAGGCGGGGCCCTGAAGAAGGAACCCTTTTCGTTGGGGGGGGGCTCCGCGTTCCTGAAGTGTTTCGCAGCTTGCCTCAGGTTTCCCTCATGTTTCCGGTCGGAAATCGAAGTTTAATTTATGGAAAAAGGGGCCGCTTGCCCGGGGCCAGCACCGATCACCATCCACCAAACCACCCCAACCCAACCCGAAGGCTCAAATTTACCCTCGATTTCTAGTGAGGGGGGGGTCGGGAAATATCGAAAAAGCACATCTGGAACCCTTGCCCCCCCCCCAACCCGAAATTCGGGTCTTCGGGTTGGGTTGGGGTGGTCTGGTAGGTAGTCAACCGAGCGATCTGCGCCATCGAATAGGCTGAAGTCGGGCCTGTCCCTCTACAGGAGGAGTATTCAGAAATAGTAAGAGAAATAGTCAGAGCACAGTGTCTTTATTCTGTTTCATCGTTTTTGCTTATTCCCTACCTAGGCTCTGCCTAGAAGGGTTCTTACTCGCTTTGCTTAAAGGGGCGGGGCAGTGTAAACCGCCCCGGGCGGTTCCCCTGGCCCCCTGGGACCCAAACAAAAGCAACAGCAAAGGTATAAGTAAACGCGCGCTTCCCCCAGTTGCGCTCCCTGGATGCCAAGCAAAAGCAAAGGCAACAGTGAAGGCAAAAGCGAAGGCAAAGCAAAAGCATAGCATAGCATAGCATAGCGCAGCATAGCATAGCGCAGCATAGCATAGCGCAGCATAGCATAGCGCAGCATAGCATAGCATAGCATAGCGCAGCATAGCATAGCATTGCTTTCCTAGAGGCTCCAACTCCTAGGTAGGGTCGCACTGGGATAATTATTGTTCATCGTTTTTGATTATTTTTGGAGTATGCTTAATTTTTCCTCCAAAATCCGCCTGTAGGAGGACCGGCCCGACTTGAGAATAAGATCAGGAGGTCTTTGGCTTCACACCTACACCCCCGGCTTCTCTCGGTGGGGAACGCAAGCTCGCCGCTCTTCTTCTTCCGGCACCTCCTCATCCTCATCCTCCTGCTTTTCCTCGTGGTCGTCGTCGTCGTCGTCATCGTCGTCGTCGTCGCGGCGGTGATTATCTTCCCTCTGTGGTTGGGCGGGCGTGATAATGTTGCGGGGCCATTTCTCCCGTGGAAACGTCCATTGTGGGCGAGGATGGCAGTCGGAGTCAGTGGTTGTGGTTGTAGTCGTGATTGTAGTTGTGGTCGTAATCGTGATTGTAATCGTGATTGAAGTCGTAATCGTCGTCGTCGTGGCGGAGATTATGCCCCCTCTACTTTTCAACCCGCTCAATCATGTTAACACATGTTTCTCCCGGGGAATAATCCATTGTGGGCGACCTACACGCTAGACGATTTGCCAGCATCTTCTCATGAGGATTGCAGTAAAAATCAGTGGTTGTGGTTGTAGTCGTGGTTCTAGTCGTGATTATGATAGTGGTTGTAGGCGTGATTGAAGTCGTAATCGTAGTCGTGGTTGTAGTCGCAACCTTAGCCGTACTCGTAGTCGGAGGCGTGGTCGCAATCGCACTCGTAGTCGTAGTCGAAGTCGTCGTTGCCGTTGTGGTGCGGCGGGTGCCGCGGAGACGTCGTTGCATGGTTGGAGGGGCCCCAGTCCGTCAATATGGTCGTCGAAAAAGCCATCCTAGTTTCCAACTATCAGGGGGGGGACATCGATCGCAGAAGGGGGAAGCATTTTTTAGCGTCGCCCCCCTGGGGGGCACGATCCTCGTGAGGGGTGTCGAATTTTAGCCCTCCCAGGGGTCGTTCTTGGACGCTCTAACTACCCGCGGCCCCCCCCTGTCCAGGTCAGTGGGGAGGGGGTACGGGGAGGGGTAAACCCCTCCCCGAAGGGGAAGAAGGAGGGGTGGAAGAGGAAACGCTCTAAACCACCGACGCCCAGAGGGCTGGTAGGACTATCAGGGGGGGGGGCTCTGAAGACCTATTGCGGTTACCTGAACGCCCGGAATGGTTGCGGAACACGGGCATGATGCCCAAACAGCGACTGTTGCCCAAGACCAACAGCGGCCGTTGTTGGGCAGGTGACCGTTGGTCTCAAATGGACAACGCCCGCGACGGAGCCGAACGACAGCGAACCTTCTTTCAAATGTACAGGAGTACCGAAGGCTGCGCCGATCGTGTTCGAGGTCGAACGGCCCCACGCAGTGTCAGAGAGCGACGCGGGGGTCGTCGCTCGCCGCATGCGCTCATCTGTCCAGAGGGCGAGCGAGGTGTTGAGTTCGGCGCTGCAGCGACGGCACGAACTTGGAAAGTAGTCCGCGCGATTTTGGGGCGCCTCGAGTGACATAATGGGCTTGTTTTCCACCACCACCACCACCATAAGTTGGAGGGGAAAGGAGGTGGAGGACGAGGAGGAGGAGGACGAGGAGGAGAAGGACGAGGAGAAGGAGGAGGAGGAGGAGGAGGAGGACCTCCTCCTCCTCCTCCAATTTATGGTGGTGGTGGTGGTGGTGGAAAGCAGACCCATCATGACAGCTACGACTGTGAAAACGGCCGCCCGTCAGGACGCTGCGTATTGCAAGCTCTCGTGTCGGCAACACCTGGCGAGGTCTGAGGCGAGCCAGGTTGTGAAAACGGTCGGCCCTCCATCTGCATGATTGTGGGGTTCTCGTACGACGAAGGGACACTGCGCTGAGGCGGGAGCTACATTCTTGAGGGCACCATGCGCTTGATCGATGGAGGAACCAGACAGCAACAAAGGATGTGCGCGCGGTAAGTTGACCAGATGTGGATAGCGACCCGTGTCCTCATCCTCCTCCTCTTCTCCTTCGGCGTTCTGCGTCTGTTCCGCACGCTGGGTAAGGAAGTAAACGGCCTGCCATTACAACCGGTAAGTACTGGCCGCACCATTACGTCGTCTGCTTCGCCATGCTTGAAGTGGGGCGGCATTCGCGTTTTTTCGCCAGCTGTTGAATCGTGCTGTCCGCTCCAACGAAATGCCTTTGATAGCGGGCCATCCTTCATCCGTGCAGATGTTCGACAGCGCAGCTTGCTGGACCTATTCTGGACGAGCGCCCGCGACGCTCGGGCGCGAGCCGCCGCTTGTACATGCGCCGTGCTCCATCCGTGCAGCTGCTGGAGGTTCTGAAAGCGCACGTGCGCCGCGCTAGGCGGCAGACACCATCAGCCGAAGCAGAGCAAGCGGCATACACGTAAATTTTAGGAGATCCGCGCGGATTTCGTGGACCTCCGCTGGAACCCCTTGGCGCCGCCTCTGGCGCCGCCCCTGGCGCGCTCTGTGCGCCCAGGAGGGGGTTCCAGCACAATAAATCCGCGCGGATCTACGAAAGGGTCCATGTCTATGTCAATTTGTTTGTCCTCCAGCTAAATGCGCACACTATCTGAAAACGAGCCACCTTTCATCGTACCTCTGCGAAGCGATTTCAAGACGCGTGTGCGCGGCCCACACGCGAGGTGCGCACTCTGAAAGCAGCCTAATTACGCACCGCGCGCGCAACTGCGGTCGAAGGCACGACCCGCGTGTGCGCGACGCTGCAGGGAGAGCCACAGTTTCAGAACCGCTTGCGCTCCACCATTGTAGCCGTTGAAACGTTCAACTGTGGAATGACGACAAGAGGATGAAAGTTGGAGCCGTCTGTGGGTCTGAGGTGATCCAGAATTGGTTCCGGCCAGCAGGAAGGTCGTGCAGGTTCGAGGGTTTGGATTCAGAAGGTGTTTGGCCCCTTACGGGGTCCTGGGACCGTGAAAAGCGGGGTCAGGATCGAAAAATTGCACCAGATGGACCCTGGGAGGGGTGCAGTGCGTGTCGTGTAGAATGTAGTTGTTGCACGTAGGTGCTTCTGGGGAAGTCTTCGAGGCTTCAGGACGATGGAGACGATAGAGGAGGGAGCAGGGAGAAAACGGAGGAGAGATGGGGAGTCGGATGAGGAGGAGGGTAAAGATGATGAGGATGCGCAGTAGGAGAGGGAAGCGTGGGATATGAATGTGGACGAGGAGGAGGATAAAGGGGAACGGTGTATGCATGGGGTGGCGGAGGAGGGAGAGGAGAAGAAGAATCAGCAGATGACGGCATCGGGACCGCTGGAACGCGAGCGATAACCAGAAACGCACCCAGTGACATGTTCATTGCGAGCACTGTTTTGAGAACATTCCCGTGCCACTGCCAACCCAGCACCTGGATATTCGTGGAGGCATGGGGTTCGTGAACGAAATTCACGTGTTTCGAAAAGGACATGGTAACTACCTGAGCACGTACCGCATGTACCGACAAAACATGAAACTACGTCTTTGTCGAATGCGGTGTTGATTGAGGCGTGCAGGGGCGAGAAGAGTCTCTCTCTCGAGAGATACGCTTACGTAGTCGACGGATTATCGATGCTTGATGATGTATGCAACGGGCACGTCTTGTGATTGATGCTTATCTGCGCGAGGTGAAGTTAGTGGAGGACAACGCGCTCGCAGGAGGGAGGGGGTCCTGTGAATCATCATTGCATGCCTTGCGCTATGTTGACACTCCTCCTCTGCATCCCTTTGCCGCTACACCTCGCTTTCTTCTCGAGTCAGCGCTTGCACACGCAAACTGTGTGGTTGGGCCTCGAACTCGGTTGGCTACCTCAGACAGGTGAGGCCGACTTTGCTTTCGGCAGCTAGCGCGAGCAATCCTCCTGGTTTGGCTTGGCTTGTCGCGTTCGCATGTATTTGCGTTCGTGAGTTGCGCGGGCAAGGTAGTTTTAGCCCCGCTGCCAACTCATACGCACAATGTTTGGATTCGGGATCTCAGCATACTTTGCGCTACGGCAGTACGACACATGTAGTACACATGTCTGTTTGAGCGTATCATCACATTGGGGACTCGACCATGGGGAGGCCGATCCCGAGCTCAGATTCGCAAAGGCCTTGGCAAGATTGGCGGTGAGAAG